AGGGGCGCGTCCGTGCCGGGGGCTGGAGTCGCCGCGGTGGGGCCCGCGGGCGGCGTGGGCCTGCTGCCGCGCACGCGCACGCGCACGCGCAGCCAGCCGTGTCTGTTTACTGGTTTCTTCCCAGACGTGTGGCAGTGGAGGTTTGGGAGAGAAGTCGTCTGTCTCCTGTTTAAGACGATAGGTTCTTTCCCACTGTTGCTAGAGCTGTTTTGAAGAGCATCTCATTAAGAATGTGCACACCCCATTTTCTCTTCCCTTCTTTAGAGGAGGAAAACTCATTTCATTTGGCTGCTGTTCTAATATTAATAAGGAGTCTTTTTGAAATTTTAGGAATGCATGAATTAAGGAAATCAAAAGGGGACAGCCTGATTTAGCAAAGGGCAGGAACGTGAACTAGAAATAAGCCTTCAGAGGTTCTATTTTTGAATCACTAAAAGCCATGCATTAAATTGATGGCAAAGTGGTTTTGCCAGCACTGAGTTTCTTGCTCCCTCCTTCCCATGAAAGCAGGGATAATTGTGTTTGCCTGTCACCCACCCTTGGGAGATACTATAAAGACAAACAGATGAGACTGAAAATCTCAAGCACTAAATTTATCTGGAGGATTTATACTATTTACTGGATTGTTAAACACCAGAAATTTAGTAACAACTAACACGGTTGCCAAATGTCCTCAAAACTTAAGAGTAGCAATGTGAAATGTTTGCTGGGGAAGGATACTTAGTGAAAAGGGAAGGTATTTTTAGTGAACCCAACTAGCATGTATATAGAAAATTATTTTACATGTTTTAGGTAGGAATCCCAGGAAATGAGGTTCTCTGATTAAGAAAGCGTTAAAAGTTTTCAGTGTTCGTCCTGCTGTTTAGAAAGCAAGGCCACTGCCCTAGAGCACTAACCAAATACATCTGGAGATGATGAAGTGAGACTGAGGAGCCATGTCCCAGGGCAAGGGAGGATGAGGAAATAACTGAGTGTCATCTTCTTTGTTGTTCATGAATTCTGTCTGGCACAGAGTAAGTGCTCAGTAAATATTTTGTGGAGTGAATAAACAGATCAGCATTAGCTGCACTTGAAGTGCCTTTAAGATTTTAGAAACTGCTCAGTTTCTGGGGGCACTGCTTCCTGGTAAGATGGTAACTGCTGTTGAAGGAATTTTTCTATGTCCCAGGGAACAAGGTACCAAATGTGTGCTGCAAAAATGCTGTGGTTGTTCACATTGCTGTTCATCAGATCTGTGCTCTCTGTCTCACCTTATTCACTCAAAGATCTGCATACGTGTTTGATTCCTGATATAAGCAAGTGAATCCAACTAAATCATCACATTCTTTTCAAGTAAAATGGGAATGGCACAGATTTGGTTGAATAATTGAAACTTGAAAAAAATTTAATCTCGTACTTGTAGTAATGAAAGTTATATATCTTGTTTCTCAAAAGGTTACTGGACTAGATTTAGAGGCTCTTAGATGAAAAATAGATGTTCCTATTCTACTTTACTTTTTAAAATCACCTTCCTAAATAGGTCATATTTGTACATGTGTTGATGTGCAAATCTGGACTTGAGTATGGCTTTATATGTTATGTATCAAAGCCTGGCTTCCTCAGAAATATTTTGTCTTTGCAGATTTTAAACTTTTACTTTTCTCCCAAGGTATTTAGCAACGTTTCTCTCCTTTTAAAATAAATACCTGCATTACTGTAAATCTGTGCTAGTTGAGAGTTACATGAATGCCATAATAGGCCATAGTTACTAGTTTTAACTTTCTCACCCGTTTATTTTTAATGCTGAGAAATGTGCTCTTTAGGACTCCATTTTAAATTCATTTGATGAAGAAGCCCTGTGATCTTATGAGATCTGAAATGTTGTGTGTGTGTCAATGGGCTGGTGGTGAACTTGGGGGAAAGCCACTTTCAGTCTCTGCTTTATAGTGTGAGTCAGAATGTGGATCTCAGCTTTTGAGAATACGTGGGCCACGTCACATTTGTAGTGCTGCACTTAAGTAGTAGACATGTGAAGTTTAGGGGAAAATGATTATTTTCCCAGTTATTCAGGGGTCTGCTTAGTTTTCTGATCTCTTCATTGTCCAGTTCTTTGGTAGTAGACTATTGTGGTCGATTACCTGCTAAGCAGCTTTGTCTTTTAAGTTTTGGGCTCATACTCTCTCACAACTATGATTTTTTTTACTGAAAAAGTAGAATGTGTGTTGTGACTAGAAAAGCTTTTTATTCAAAATCATAATTCAGTCTAAAATACACAAACTTGAAGTGGAAGGATAGCCCATGTTCTTGGATCGGAAGAATTAATGTTGTTAAAATGGCCACATTACCCAAAGCAGTCTACCATACAACATTTTTTTCCCCCTCAATTTTTCTTTCTTTTAACATACTTGAAAATGTTTATGTGGGCTTGTTCCCTGTTGGATATAGCTATATTTAAACTAAGAAGCAATGCCTCCTCCTCCTTTTAAATTATTATATAGAGTGAATGACAGTGTAATATAAATACTTATCTAGGTATAGTAAAATTTATTTATTTTTATTTTATTTAAATTTTGTTGAGGAGGAGGTAATTAGGTTTATCTATTTTATTTTTTAATGAAGGTACTGGGAATTGAACCCAGGACCTTGTGAATGCTAAGCATGGGCTCAACCACTGAGCCCCATCCTCCCCCTAAAATTTAAGTATTATGTTGCTATCGTAAGGAAGCATATAGAAATAATAAAGCTATATGACATGAAATAAATACATAAATAAAAATTTAAAAAAATGAAATACAGAAACTTTTGCCAATTTGAGAAGTTAGGAGAAATAAAGGGACATAATGGCCGAAGTTATTAAAATGCTCAATGAAAATTAATCATATATTTTTGTACTTCTCCTGTGCAGTGTTTGGGTTGATCCAGCACTGGGAGGTTGGGGTGGGGCATGAGGAAAGGCTGAGGAAGAAATGAAAGTCCAAACCTTGATTCTGTCCAACACTTAACACTCTTAAAATTCATCCTAAAATCAATCTTTAATCAATCCCTCATGTAAAACTTTCCCCCATCCCAACACCCAAGTAATATCTGACCTTAAAGGAATTCTGTCCATTTTACATCTTCATAGCAGGTACACAGAAGGGATCGCCCCTACCCTTTCCCTTTGTCTGGGCACGCCAGCTCAGTATGGCCCTGCAACTGGGCCATATGCCTTCCTTTTAGACGTTTTTAGTACCACGCTGGAAGAAAATGTGTTTTACTTCTGTAGCCAGGATATTCCTTCAGGGACTGCGAAGCATATCTTACACTGCCCCGTTTTGGGGTGGAGGAAGCGGATGTTATTTATATCAGGAATGACCTTCCCTTTTGGTTCACGCATAAATACTCTTCTATAGAGCAAGTGTGTCAGTGATCACAGTACAGTCATAAATGTAGCCCTGGTGAGAGATCGCTATACCTTTCCTGAGAAAAGTTTGAAGGATTTGGCTCCTGAGGTGATTGACAAATGACATATCTCAATCCTTTGTCCCAATCAGTTAACCATTAGTATTACCACACCCTCAAGTCTCTGTAGGAAATAATGTCTGACAGGTAGATACTGTGTGCTAATCTTCTCTCTGCCGTAAACAATTGTCCTGTCTTGTTAGAATATTGGATACAGTTTCAGATTACCTGTGAAAAAACGCCTGGGACTTTGTTAGAGTAATTTGCTTCTTTCTTCTTTCCCTACTCTGAAATTCAAATGAGAGCATGGGTATAGAGTTGATATAAGTAAAGAGAGCTATAAAGAATGTATGTTGTCTTGAGCAGAAAAAAAAAAATTCCGCAGCCCCTCTTTCTGGCCAAAGTGTGGTCCTTCCTAGTTCCTCTTAGTTCTATTTTGTTGCAATCACACTAAACTCAAACTAGCTACCTGATCATTTTATTACCTAACCTTTTCTGGCCCCCAAGGCCTTTACGCTGTATCTACATATCTTAAACATATTAAGTTTGCATGTTTTTACAGAGTTTAATTGGGATATTCGACTTGAGAAAATTGTTAACAATCCTCTCCATAAAATACCATCCACTTACCAGAGCGAGCTCCATATCCATGATCTAATCTGTTAAGCCCCATGTGGAATATCTTTCAGTTAATTTCTTGTACATTATGGAAATGATTTAGTCATTTATAAAAGCTACCTGTCAAATGGATCTTAAGAAAAACATGTAGCATGTCAGTGGTATACTGCCCTTTAAAAAAAAAAAGTATAACCATTGCTTACTCTATTAGACACTAATATTTTTCAAACAGCATAACGTTTATAGGAATAGTAATATTCCTCTAGGAATGCCCAAATAAATACCTCATGTATACCACTGTATGCAATAAGAGTGAAATTTGGAGATAAAGGTGTCCTTGTCATTCTTTTAATAAGATCTGAATAACCCAGTTGGAGAGAGAACAATGTGATGCATCAAGAGTCAGTTAGCAACAAAGATTTCCACAGCAGTTAACAGGAGAAGTTAGGAACTTTGTTTACTTGCCAAGTTGAGTGCACAGATAATCAGTATAATCTCATTGCTTTTGTGTGCTCTGGAGCCTCTGCGTTTCTTAGGAAAGTAGGTGCTATTTCAGACCAGATTGCCTGTAACAAGAGACTTCATGTTTGATTTTTAAAGAATTCAAGTGGGATTAATGGTTTGCTAATGTGACCTCACTTGGCTTTTATCACCCAGGTATAAAATTTGAAAATCAGTATACAGTATGTCTGTGAAAACACTGAAAACTGTGTTTTGTATTAATGTTTGTAAATAAGAGAAATGAAATCAAGTCTTGAAGAAAGTATGAAAAGTATGTCAAAAAGAGCATAAAAACATGAAACTCATCCATAATCACTGACTTCATTTATTCATTGAACTTCTGAAAAATCCTTGATAAGAAGATTCTTTCCATTCTTCTTTTCCCTATTATTTTCTGAAAAGATTGTTTACAAGCCAAAATGTGTCAGTTCTGTGTAAGTTACAGTGTAATTGCCAGGGGAACAGAGTATTTGTTATACAGACTTATCGGCAGTTGCCAACGGTCTTCATTGGTCAGAATCTAATGGTCTATTGTTAGTCTGTGTCTGCTACGGTAAAACTCCAGTGGCACCAAAAAATTGGAAGATTGTTTAAGAGTTGTTTTAAAATTAATGAAGCTTTAGCCAGTCTAATCAAGAAACAGAGAGAAGGCCCAAATAAATAAAATCAGAAATGGAAAAGAAGAGGAGTTAAATAGAATTTGACCTGTAGTTAGGGGAGGATCAAAAGGACCTGAATCCTTAGGTCGGGGGCGATCACTGCATCTTCACTGCAGTCCTAGAGGATCAGGTGACTAAACCAGACGGAGAGTGTCGTCATTGGTCAGTTAACCCGTTCTCCTTTTTCTTGTTTGTAGCCTGAGCCTCCAACAGTAAACAAATGGCAGCTAGACAACTGGCTGACCAAAGTCAGCCAGCCTGCGGTGCCCCCCGAGGTTCCGGGCGGCGCCGAGCCCCCGGCCCGGCACCCGGACGGTAAGGCCAAGGGCGGCGACGGT